ACTCCTCTTTTATACTCCCGGATGTATGTACTCCCACCATTAATTTTTTTTAGAATTACTCCCACCATTAGTAGTAGAGTGGAAAACTGAGTTATCCATTCATTATATCCGATTTCTTAAATGGTGGCCGAACAGATCTAACAACCAGCCCGCCGGAACTCCCCCATGCATGCGGAGCTAACTATAGATTAGATTAAACCATATAATTAGAGTTTAAATTAATGGTATCTGGACGTGGGTTATGTAAAAACGTTTGCATGCTGATTGTTTCAAAGGAGTATGTACATATACTGATTTTTTAATGGGGTATATACTACTATTTTCAGAGTATATACTACCATATGTTTATACTGGAGTATCATTCGTATGATGCATGCAATATTGATCAGTATATACTGATAACTGATTGTTGGAAAGGAGTATATGGTTCTTTTTTTAAATTAGGTATACTACTCGATGCAAAACAAAAAAAATGAGATATACTACTTTTTGCACAAGGAGTATAGCACAGAGGTTTATCTTCCATACGATGTTCCCTTACCAAGCAATAATATATGTTTCGCCGTCCTGTAGTATGTATACTTCATCAACAAGGATAAGTATACGGCAAGAAATTATGTATACTGAAACTAAGTGAAGCATGTTGGAATAAGTATATGTAAATACCATTTGGGTCTTTTTTTAACCAGCTACTTGGTGTCATAATTGTGGTATACACTTCTGAATTATTTTAGTAGTATGTACGCACATGCGGATTTTTTTCATTTGTAGATATTGTTAATTTAGGGCATAATACGTTTTAGTGTATATATATACTGCTTTTCATCCTGTATACACCACTACTTTAGTTACTCATCCAAATATTCAAACTAGTATATAAACTTCTTTCTTGTAGTATGTGCGGTATATAATACTGCCTATTATTAAGTAATATATACTGATTTTTGGGTGGTATATAACCTAAGCATCCAAATTAGTATCTACATCTTTAATGAAGGGTATGTATGTACTGATTTCTTATAGGTAGTATATACTGCTTTTTCTTCGTGTATACTTTTTTCTTATTTAAGTGGTAGTATGTGCCAAGCATCAAAAAATGAGGCATTTTTTAGAGGCGTCATTTACATACATTAAGAGCATGTACGTACGTGTTTTTTTATGGAGTTTGTACTTCAAATCTTCGGCATTAAGTGTATATTGTACGGATCAAAGAAGTATATACTTCCAAAAAAGAAGTACATGGTATCCATAAGAAAGTATATACAACACACGTTTGCGCATGCTGGATCCGCAGAACACTGGTGCAAAGAAAGCTCGACTATGCTCAGTACATCCATGTCCAATTGGATCTATAGCCAGACCATGGATGAAAGCTTAACTACGCGCGGCTGACACGCTAATTACAATGAGTTGTCATGGAAAACGTTGTCAAGCCGTCGCCTGATGCATCTAATGTACGTCATCGAGCCATTTCTGGACGCATCTCATCTGCATGCATGGTGTAGCCGTCCTGCTGAGTCGCCGGCTGGCCTCATGTCTTCTTCCTCGTTGAGCCGTCCTGCTAACTTCATAGTTCCATGCCCTTCCTCCAATTACCTGTTCGGGGAAATTAATGGTGATACTTGGACGTGAGTTCAGCGTACCTGGTTTTAGATCTGGTCAAGTCTGATAGGTGCAGTAGACCCAAATGGGAGTGCTTGATCTAGATGCGAGAGACACGCTGGGTATACACGGGGATGATCGTCACCATCA